AGGCGAAGACCTGTGGAATCAGGGATGCTATAGTGCCTACGAAGGGGGCCCAAGTAGTTCTCATGCATCTGAGAACACTGTTATTACCCTCATCCTCCGAGAACCTGAAATTTTTTATCTCCTCTAATTTTTCATCTAGTCTATTCACTAAATCCTCACTAGAGCTAACTCTTCTAGGGGACGAGGTGCTTGGGTTCCGACCAGACTCGTCGAATGAACTACTATGTTATGAAGCTAGACATGGTAATGAAATAAGAAGAAAGATGTTATGAAGGAAAGCGACTGACCAAGAGTGAAGTTTCGAGCTGCTCAGGTTGGACTCAAGTGTTCTCAAAAAATAGAAAGCACAAAAAACGGAGCTGATCCTAAAAACTATTTATAGTAATGCAGAAATTCATCACAGCCTTACACGTGTCATTAGAGGAATGGACCATATCAAATGACATACCAAGTGTCAGAGCACTTGAGCTCTAACAGCTATTACTTCGACTCCCCGTATTCTCCAACAGTTATGAAATTTCACCACGATCTCGGATGTCACCATCTAGGCAAATTTTCAAGACCAACCAAAACTTCTTTGTCAGGTCGATCTCGAACCTGGATACATTTGGTTTCAGGTCCACCTCGAACTTGTCCGAGGTGGATTACTTAGTCGAATATTGATTACGTCTACCATCTTAAAGTCCGACCAGCCACTAAGCTCGACCAGGTATTTGGGACATGTTTAACCTGACCTCCAGAATTGATAAACGCCTGCCAGAAGGCCTGTCGGGTCCCCAACCTATAAATAGAGGGCACCATTTCCATGGACAGGTATCGAATGTTGGGTTTTGTGCCCTTAACTCGTGTATTTGTACTTAATGAACAAATTATTTATTCAATAAAGAGTTTTTTTACTATTTCTTTTCATTACTTGTATTCCAATAAACTAAGATCCAAGGTTATTTCATATAACTGGAACTGTATATAACTGATATACGGTATATTTTTAATATACAGTGTATATATTTGATATACAGTATATAATAAATATATAGTATATATTCGATATACAAGTTGATTATGAAGTAATAACCTAAATGGTTTATAGTACATGGATAAGGTTGGGTACCTTATCCTAGTAATACTATGGATGCAGCCCGCTTTGTAATACTATGGAGACATGAAAGTGGAGGTATCATACACAATGAGTTTCTATAAGACTAGACCGCAACAAATTAATCTTTAGTCATAACACCATAAACTAACTAAATTAATATTTCATAAGATGGCCATGTAACTCGATCTTAATCTTGAGCGAGTTATGGACTCCTGCCTATAAGGAATAGTTCTTTGATTTGTATATGTGAGAGTGGTCCGGGATGCCGACTCAATAATCCTACCATTTTAGGGATGAGACCGAGTAGGGAGTTGGAAACACAACTACGCAAGATGGAATTCACTCCTTCCCAACTTTAGGGTAAATAGATGAGTGTTCCTTTAATTGCTGATTCGAGGACTTGAACAAGGGGTCTCAACCTCTCATTGGCCTGAGAGAGATTTCTGTTTAATGGTCGGACCATAAACGGGTTTGTTAATCAGAAGAGCAGTGGTACTTAAGGTGAAAGAGGTAACTCAAGGGTAAAATGGTAATTTGACCCAACTGAAGTTACGAACACTCATGAAGGTTTGACTTGCCGTCAATGGTCAATTTCTGTGGACACAAAATCGTATACAGTGAGAATAGTGTAGCTGTGGGTCTTTAGTGGAGTGACCTACAGTTAACGAATGTTGATTAATATGGTTAATGAGTTTAATCAATTAATCTCGTATCGTTGGAGCTTCTGATCTGTAGGTCCATTAGATCCCCTTGCTAACTCACAACAAGTAAAACGACGATCAAGATTTTGAAAGAATTTGAAATGTTCAAAATAGGGAATGTATATAATGTATATTGATACATTATATTAATATATATTAATTTTGGATAAAGATTCAAAATTAATATTATATATTATGAGAGATATATTTGAATGTTATTCAAATAATAATTAATATGAATTGGATTCATATTAAAATTATAGGTAAAAATTAATGTGCATAAGGTGTACATTAAAACTATATGTTATAGGAGAAGAGTATATTTAAATATGATTCATATATTAATTTAATTAAATATATGATATTTGGTTAATGGGTTAATTATTTAATTAATAATAATAATTTAATAATTATGCTAATAAATTTTAATATTAATTAATATTAAAATTACCACTTCTCTAATTTTTGGTGGAGAGTAGCAAGTGATGAAGTGAGGTAAGTTAAAAGAAATGCAAAATGGTTCTGTTGTTCTGCTGTTGGTTCTCCTACATAAATTAGTTTTTCCTCAAAACTCTCTCATCTTCCCTTTGCTTTCAAAACCCGAAAAGGATCCCACATTTCATATTCTAGACCAAAAACTTAGCAAGGAAGATCATGTGGTGGTGTCTATACCGAAAATGATCCCTTAGAGGATTTTGCTTAAGCAGCTCGACATTTCGACCACTAGTTCTTGTTATTCGAAATTCATTCCACAATATCAAAGTCTTCCACATGTGGCATGGGTAGCAATACTCTATTTGTTGAAACATCAATCACCAACTGTGTTGCCTCATTCAGTCCATTATAGTAGGTCTTTGTTTGGGGATAAAAATATCACGGACACGTGGAGGACGCTCAGTGGTGTTTAGAAATAAAAAGAGTATTCCAGGTCCACCTCGAACCTGCCGAGGAGACCTAATTCATCCATATGCAAGGCTAAGTGTAAAGGCTAGGGTTCGACCTGAATGAGTTCGAGCTRCTCAACCCCAACAGGTTCGACATGATAAAAGACAGGGATAACCGCCGGTCGTAAGTGCTGTCGGACCCACCACCTATAAATAAAGGGTCTCATTTTACACTCAGGTATGGAATCTCACCTCGAACTTAATATTGAGTCCGACCTATACTGACTTGATCGTCAGAGAGTTTGCCCTCTTGTGCAGGTTCACTCCACGGTTCGGGTCGAGTTAGTGATCGGGTATGAGCTAGGTTCGCAAACCCCGTTGTGCAATTCTTTGCATAAACAGTCTTTATCTGAATACATCGTGGGATACCATGATGTGAACATCTATGGAGTAAGCCCTTAAACCTTTCCCATGACACTCAACGATTCTCTTGGAAGTTGCTGGAAATTGTTGATGTTGCCGCCTCGCCGAGATGACCGACATGCGGTCATTAATACTATCTTTGGAGGCCCAAGTGGGGGCCAGTCTGGAAACAAAAGGAAAGAACTAGCTCGAGAAGCCAAACGCGAGGTATGCGCCATCAGGGAGCATAAACCGACCTGCTTCATCACCTTTGGTGACTCCGACCTGAAGAGGGTCCACTTGCCCCATAACGATGCACTTGTGATCGCTCCTCTCATCGATCATGTCCTGGTCCGAAGAGTATTGGTGGATGGGGGTGCATCTTCCAATATTCTATCCCTTACAACATATCTTGCTTTGGGATGGACTAGGACATAGTTGAAGAAGAGTCCAACACCTTTGGTTGGATTCTAAGAATCAGTCTCCCCGGAAGGGTGCATTGAATTGCCAGTTACAATTGGGCAAGACAGTACACAAGTCACGCAGATGGCTGAGTTCATTGTGATCGACGGCAAGTTGGCCTACAACGCTATCTTTGGGAGACCCATTATCCACTCATTCCGGGCTGTTCCCTCAACACTTCACCAAGTTTTGAAGTATTCAACTCCCAATGGGGTGGGTACAGTCCGAGGAGAGCAGAAGATGTCAAGGGAGTGTTATGTCTCTACACTCAAGGGGTCATCGGTATGCGCCCTTGAAAGACAAACCAAGTGTGCTGAGACGCAAGAGTCAGAGGTCGACCTACCCAGAGAAGGCAAGAGGGAGTTCTCTGCACCAACAAAGGAGCTCGAGCTGGTTCTTTTACTTAGTCCTGAAAAACAAGTAAGCATAAGAACCAAGCTGGGGGCCACTAATAGGGAAGAGCTGATCAACTTCCTTAGGTCCAACTCGGATATTTTTGCATGGTCTCATGAGGACATGTCTGGCATAGACCCAAAGATCATGGTGCATCACCTCAACATAGACCCATCATTCCGACCTGTAAAACAAAAGAAAAGACCTGTAAATAAGGAGAGGAGTGATGTAATTGTTGAGGAAGTAAACAAACTTTTAAAAGCTGAATATATAAGAGAAATTATGTATCCCGAGTGGCTCTCTAATGTTGTATTAGTTAAAAAATCTAACGGAAGTGGAGAATGTGCGTAGATTTTACAAATTTAAATAAGGCGTGCCCAAAAGATTGCTTCCCACTGCTGAGGATCGACCAGCTCATAGATGCAACTGCTGGGCACAAACTGCTCACCTTCATGGATGCCTACTCCGGATACAATCAAATTAAAATGCATGGCCAGATCAAGATCATACCGCGTTCATAACAGACCAAGGTCTGTACTGCTATAAGTTTATGCCCTTCGGCCTAAAGAACGCAGGTGCGACCTACCAAAGAATGGTGAATAAGATGTTCGCCAAGCAAAGGCCGTGCTCGAGATGGAAGCATCCAAAACTCTTAAGCAGCTTCAATGCCTCAATGGAAGGATTGCAGCTCTAAATAGATTCGTCTCGAGATCAACTGATAAATGCCTTCCTTTCTTCAAAGTCTTGAGAAAGAAGGGGCCATTTGAATGGACGACTGAGTGCGAGCAAGCTCTGGATCAATTAAAAACCTATCTCTGCTCGGCACCACTGTTCGCCAAGCCTCTGCCGGGAGATAAGCTCCACTTGTATCTGACGGTATCCGATAGTGCAATCAGCTCGGCCCTAATTAAGCAGGAGGGAGTACGCCAAAGTTCAGTTCACTACACAAGTAAGGCTATGACTGAGGCCGAGACCAGGTATCCACAAATGGAAAAGCTGGCCCTCGCCTTGGTCACCTCGGCCTGAAGACTTAGGCCATATTTCTAAGCACACCCTATTATGGTGCTTACTAATTTTCCCCTGAAAAACATCTTCCACAAGCTTGAAACATCAGGACGTTTGATGAAGTTCGGGCCCAGAACTGCGTTAAAGGGGCAAGCAGTTGCAGACTTCATAGCAGAGCTCACCCCGCCATCTCTGCCCGCCGATTCCGACCTCCCGTGGACGATCTACGTAGATGGATCTTCCAACGAGAAAGGGTGTGGAGCGGGAATCCTCTTGCTCGCACCAGATGGCATGCGATTCGAGTATGCCCTGCGTTTCAACTTCTGGACTTCAAACAACGAGGCCGAGTATGAAACGCTTCTGGCAGGACTCCGCGTTGCCAAAGGACTGGGGGCCACCCACATTAAGGTCTTCAACGACTCCCAATTGGTGGTAAATCAAATCAAGGAGGAGTATAAAGCAAAAGACTCTCGGATGGAGAAGTACTTAAGTAAAGTCAGATCGCACCTCGCCCAATTTAAAACTTACGAGGTGAATCAAGTTCCGAGATTAGAGAATTCAAATGTAGATGCCCTGGCCAAATTGGCATCAGCATACGAGACCGATCTAGCGAGATCGATCCCGGTCGAAATCTTGGATAACCCGTCAATTCTTGAGCCGGACATAATGGACGTTGACGCAACAGCACCCATGTGGATGGATCCAGTTGTGGAGTTCATTAAAGGAAACCCACCGCAAGACTCAAAAGAACATAAGAAGATGGCACGAAGAGCAGCTCAGTTTGTACTCCGAGATGGAGCATTGTACTCGCGAGGCTTCTCCCTGCCTCTCCTCAAGTGTGCGACTCCTGAAGAAGGGAATTACATTCTCAGAGAAATTCATGAAGGAGTATGCGGCAACCATTCAAGAGTCAGGGCGTTATCGGCCAAGGTGGTTCGGCAAGGGTATTATTGGCCCACCGTTGATCAAGATGCCAAGCAGTTCATGAAGACTTGCGACAACTGCCAGCGCTTCGCAAGCATTATTCATCAGCCTCCTGAACTGCTCACTCCCATCTCGGCCCCATGGCCATTCACACAATGGGGAGTGGACATCATAGGTCATTTTCCCCTGGGCAAAGGACAAACCAAATTTGCCGTTGTCGCTGTCGATTATTTCACATCACAAAGTCCAAGGTTACATCGTTCGTATGGACAAACATCGTATGCGGCTTTGGCATACCAAACGCCATCGTGACAGACAACGGGAAACAGTTCGATAACGCAAAGTTCAAGGACTTTTGCAAGAGGTTGAGCATAAGCCACCTCAATTCATCCTCTGCCCATCCAAAAGGTAATGGGAAGGTTGAAGCAATAAACAAAATCATAAAGCGTGGACTCAAGCTGAGATTGGATTCCAGAAAGGGAAGATGGGCCGAGGAGCTACCCGAAGTGTTGTGGTCATATCGGACTACCCCGAGAGAATCAACCGGTGAAACTTCATTCTCACTGGCCTTTGGCTCCAAAGCTGTTGTTGCAGTTTAGATCGGCATGCCAACAGACAGGGTAGAGCAATATGACCTAGTAAGAAACGAGGAAAAACTGCTCCTCAACCTTAACTTATTAGAAGAAAAGAGGGAATTGGTTCAGCTACGCTTGGCAGAATATCAGAACAGAATGACCAGACATTACAATGCCCGAGTTCGACCTCGAAGTTCTCAAGTCAGACATTTGGTCTTAAGGAAGATTCAGAGACACGTGGACATCCTTGACCCAAGTTGGGAGGGATCGTTCGAAGTTAAAGGCATAGTCCAACCAGGAAAGGTGCTTGCGCATCCATGGAATGCAAAACACTTAAAGCGCTATTACCCTTGAAATGTCAAAATAGTCCTAAGATGGACTTGTAAAAATTTTCAAGGGAATGAAATTTTAATAAACAGAGTTATTTAATTTCATGACTCCTAGTTCGATGAGAAATTAAATGGGGGCCAAGGACTCTCATACGACTTAAACCTGGCAAGGTAATTACTGCCAAGGTAAACAGTATAAAATTCAATCCTCTAAAACCTACGGGTTTGAGGTGCGATGCCAAAATTGTTTAATGAGTATAAAATTCAATACTCTAAACCTACGGGTTCGAGGTGCAATGTCAAAATTACTTATGAAGTTAACAACTCAATCCTTCGAACATAGAAATTAAAGGTGCGATGTGAAAAGTTCAATTGTTCAATGTCATCCTTTGGACTTCCGAGTTCGAGGTGAAATGTTGAAGTTAATAAAGGAAAACTCTCAAATACAAACCTTTAAAAAGGAAAAAAAGTTCCAAGTAAGAGGTGCGGTGTGACAGAGTTCCTTTCAAACGTATTCTTTGCTTTAAACTTACGAGTTGGAAGTGTGAGATATCATATGTGATCAGTTCTACAAGGCAAGATCAAAAGCTTAAGGAAAAAATGAAAGAAGAACAAAACGCGAAGTACAGAGTTGGAGAAATGAAGATTTCATTAATAAGAGGACAGAGCCAAGACGTCTATACCTTGCAGCTTTGCCCAAAGACTTGTACAATAAATAAAAAGAAAAAAAAAAAGAGCAGCAACAACAACATAAAGAGAGGGGAAGCATCAGCCACTCCCAAGGTGAGAGGACAATTCACCTTGGGAGCCCAGAAGGTTGACCTCCTGGGATCCGCCCTGCTGCGAAGGGGCTCATTCTTATGTGGTGCCGACCTCGTTCTGCTCCTGACTAGGAGCATCGTTCTCTTCCAGGTCAGAGTAGTCAGAGTCTAGCTCTCTGACGTACTTCTCCACCAAGGATTCGGGGTCAGGAGTGCTATTAGGCCCAGAAGCCCATTTCTCAGCATACCTCTTTTTCATATCGCTGGGGTCGATCTGGAGATGAGTCATGTCGGCAGCAATGCCCTTCATCAGGAACTTGAAGCCCGCATCACGAAAATCTTTGGCGAACCCATCAAAATCTGGGTGTTGCCTGAATGGTACTTCCAGGAGAGCTCCGTTGTTAAGGCGTTCATTCTCCACCTTGAGCTCGGTAGTGAGGTGCCCTATTGAAGCGTCCTTCTCCTTAAGGACTTGAAGCGTCCTTCTCCTTCAGGAGCTGGAATTTCTCCTTCTCCAACCCCTTGGTGATGGCATGGGCAGCTCGGAAGTGGGCCTTCTGCCTCTCGTCCTCTTTCTTCAGCAGCTGAGCCTTGGCCTCCACCTCGGCCTTCAAAATCTCCACTTCGGAGCGAGCTTTCAGTAGCCCGCCCTTCATTGTGGTGGCGGCTTCCAAGGCAACAGAAGAATTCTCCTTCTCCTTCGCTGCCAAGATCTCCCTTCCATCCAGCTCGGCCTTCATCATAACTGCCGAGTGAATTGAAGCAATGAACGCCTGCGAAGACAAAACACACAAAGGTTAGATCGAGCTACAAGTTGTAAAAATAAAAGCAATTACAGAAGCAGGTCTTACCTCAACGGCGTGGTCAATGGTCCTTTGCAGTACAGACCTATGGTCATTTACGAACTTGGACGCCCTTCTAAGGCAGCGGTCCAAGCATGAAACCGAAATGCTAGACACATGGTCCTTTACCCCGGAGCTTGACGGTTCCACTCTGAACCGCATCTTCACGTCGGACGTCCCCCCCATCCGAGCTTCGGGGTCGTCCACCAGGTCAGCATGGCTC